GGTGTAACTTTCCAGTTTTGCCCATCAATCTCCAAGGTCCAGGGTAATACTGGAAATCTGGTCTGGTTCAGGGTTTCAAGTAAACCTACACTGCATGTACCTCGGGTCTCACCCTGGCAGCTGAGACAGGCTACCCCAACCAACTTAGCGGCACATCAGTGTCAGCCTTGGCAGGATAAATCTCCCTAGACTTATCCAACGACTGTGAACATTCTAAACTAACACGAGTCTCATAAATGTCCAGTTTAAGGGTATTACACAGAAACACACCACAATAACATGAATCATATATGTACTTTATTCATTTACAATAAATGTCATATGGTACATCATTCTGATTGGAGCTAAGGGCATACACTATCTAACAATAGAGGTTGACAAACACTTAATCAGGGAAAAATTGGAAAAGGAGAAATTTGCACTCCCTACATCAGCTCTGAGAAACAACTTGCAGACATTCTTACTAAAGGATTAAATTCCATGCAGCACTATAATCTTTGTGACAAGTTGGGGATGATTGATATCTATGCCCCAACTTGAGGGGGAGTGATGTAATCTTAGCTATGTGCCACAGGGGCACTTTTGTCCTTTTATCTTTTATTTCTTATTTTGTTGCCTTAACATATAAATACAAACACTAGCCCCGCCAGCTTATGTTTTTTTGGTCTCAATCTTCATGCCTCTTCCTTCTCTCCTCTCTCCATCTTCCTTCTTCTTCTTCTCCTCCTCTCTTCTCTTGATCGATATCACTCTTACTCGCTGAAATCAAATACTCCAAATCAATATTGAAAATCTTCCCTTCACTGCCCAATTTTGTTGCACATTCCACAATCCTTATAAGATGTCTTCAGTCTTCTAGATAAACCTTCAGCAGACAAATCCAGTGCATAATGTTAACTCAGGAATTTTGCCAAATGTCTGATATATAGGTGAGATAAATTTCCCAAGATATCTAATATGAAACATACAAGAACACACACACACACACACACCAAGTTGGATATACAAGTTACAGATTAAGTAATGCTTCACTTGAAACCAAAACAGTATGCATGAAAAGCAATCACATAAATGCCAATGCATAACTAACAAGAGTTACAATGACCTTGCAGGAAATCTGCAGAAGATAGTTTGTACCACACAATCTGTACCACAGTACTCATCTTCTGGGTTTTCCTTTCAGGAGATGAGACACTTCCACACTACCTCAGCAATACAACAGCCAACCACCATGGTCGGTGCATCGAATAAGAGAAAAAAAAAAAAAAAAGAAAGGTGGACAGCTATCTTGTAGCAGAAACCCCAGTAGAAACAGAACCCATTCCCACAAGAAGAGAAATGAAAATAGACTAAACTAGGGAAAAGTATTGCTGGACCAATCCTACTCCCATTACCATGTTCATCTGCTATATTTATTCAGAATAAAAGAATGAGAAAAGAAAATAGAAGAAAAAGACAGGATGAGTAAACAGAGATTAGCAAATGCTACTGATCAATCTACTGTGTACTTTTAACATATCATGAGATCAAAATAATGAAGTTATAAGTTGTCCCACTAGACCAATCCGCCTTCCTAAACAAACATAGAAACCAACCTTTGTAGTCCAAAAATTAACAATCTTTACAACTTTAAGACCCACATGAGAAAGGCAGCATACCAACTCATGGTCAAGACTCAATGCGATGATCAACATACAAGGTTGAACTATATTAAGAAGTTAGCTTCACAGTTCCATGGACTGCATCGAAGTTCCAGTCCCAAGAAACAGAAGACATCAGATGACAAAGAAAAGGTTTGCAGAGGATATATATACTAGATTTTGTCTTTCTAGTGTAAATCAATATTTGGTAACATGTAATTATAGGATTACGAAAGAGCATTAAATTGGAATTTCTTACCTTACATTGACTGTTCACAGCATGACATTTATCTGCCGCTAAGCCCCATCTCAGTAGAAAAGTTGCAGCATCTGTATACCTGTGTTTATGAAACAACAAAATATATCAAGTGATAACATGATTAAAAAAAAGAAAGTGCTTCTTTTACCTAGTGAAATAGGTATGATGCTGATATCTATAAATATAATTTCCAAAACAATAATTATTCTTTCATGGTAGAAATATGCTCTGGCATCATTGTCTTATAAAGAGGTTGTGGTTATCCATAGAAATCACATCTTATCACATGCAGATCTATAATTAAACTGAACATGAGTATGGTGGATGCTTTAATAGTATCAACCACATACCAATCAGGGAAAGGTTAGTGATCTTTAAAACCCCGTGACCAAGCAGTAAAACACCACTGATCGATTCCATACATTTCAAAACACCATAGTATGAAAAGAAGTCATGACAAAACTACAAATGAGGCACTACAAGTCAATGGACAATAGCCACCCATGCTTTCCTACCTAATATCATTATTTTCCTTGTTCATGCCCAAAAGGGTTAGATGATGGGGAGGATGCCTTCTTAATGTGACCATGGTCCAACTGAAGCAAAACTTGTGTTCAGAAAAAGACTTGTGATTAGTAAGTGTAGCCAACAGGATTGGTCTGTAAGGTCATGAAAGCTGAAAGAAACAAGGGAATTGAGGTTGCAAGTGAAGTCTCGAGGTCTAGAATTCTGAACCATATCTAAATAAGAATCTGAACAATGAAGTTCAGGCTTTCTCTGAGAGTTGTTCTCCAAGCTCAGAGATGCCTCTCGGAAGTCTGTGTGTCAGGTTGATGGAAGTGTCTTGAAGGTTCCTTTTAGGGCCCTTTTATAGATCCTGGCACTTCCTGCATACTCCCTTTAAGGTCACAGGAAAAGTATGATCATCCCCGAACACAGGGGAACCTTTTGTTAGCAAAGTTCACTAGTTTATTATGCCAGTTCAGTGTGATTTATGATGAGGGGAAAATAAGGGACTGATTGGACATTGGACGACATCCTAATTTGCACATGCTTATACATCTGTCCCCGCTATTAACACAATTACAGGTTTCCATCTAATACCCTCTTTCTTCAACATCAATCTTGTTTTGCGCCATGCATCAGCTTCAGCATCATGTTTCGTGAGCTTTAATAGATACCTTTTTTCGCCTCTAGTGGTTGACTGGTTGTTCTACATACCAGATCACATATATATATGGTCTTACATGCACCTTTGCTCCTACAGGAAGAAGGAAAAAAGTAGTCAAAACTCAAAAGCAAAAGGAATGGCTGAGTTCATTCCAGACAGTACAGGAGCTACGATCAGAACTGCAGTCCAAAGAGAGTGCAGACTGTACTTATAAAGCATGAAAGCGGATAATTGCAATGACATCCATGCCTTCTTAGTGCCAGTCATGCTGCCTACAAAGTTCTACTCATACTTAGGGAAAGGCTGGTGATCTCACTGCTGATTATTTGACTCAATCCAGATCCATACGAGATCAACCAAAGAATTCTCAGAACCACACTTCTAATTTCTTGGGGATGAGTTCTTTCAACCAAGCAAAGATAATAGAAATTATACAGCCTTTTTACAGGTCTACTCTATGGAAATAAGAGCCTTGAACCATGTCTTAGTTTGGTTTGATAATAATTCTTGGAGTAAGGCTGATGAATAGCTAGTGATTTTCTTCACTTGCTATGGTAACATGAATAGTAATTTGAATATTACCCTGAACAGAAACAAAAGGAAAGGGGAATACAACTGAGAGATGACAAGAGATACACCCATTGAGAGGTGACAAAGAGATACACCCAGCTCTAACATTCTCAATGGGTGTATTTTTTTTTGAAGATAAATAAAAAATGCATTAACGAGGGGCCAGGTGACAAGGCATCACCAAAAGATACAAAGAAATCACAAAACAGAAACAAAAACCAAATACAACTGTTCTCAGTACAATTAACATAGATTCAAAGTGTTCCAAAAATCAGAAAAAGAACTTCTCTTTTTGAGTCTTCAAAATCTGGAAGGAACAGCATCCAATCCAACAACCTTAAACCTATTGCAACGCACAATTTTTCCTTGTGCTTCTCTTTACCATTGAGTATTCATCTATTTCTCTCTTTCCACACTTCCCAGTGAATTGCGAAGGGAATGCAGCTCCACATGATCTTAACTTTCTTTCCCCAATAATTGCTAGCCACTTCTCAAAAATTACCTTAGGCACCCAGGGATCCCACCCCTCCATCTTGAAGAATCGAAAGAAGAACCAAATCCATCTAACATAGCTGCAGTCCACCATCAGGTGCATCTCATCTTCAGATTCAGATAAACAAAAGACAATCTATTTGCTAAATAAAAAACCTCTTCTCTTCAAGTGATCTTGTGTGAGAATGTGTCCACAGAAATCAGCCACACAAAAGCTTCAACTCTGGGGGGAATCTGATTATCCCACACACCTCCAATAGGATGTCTTTCCACTTGCTTTCAAACCGAAGCTGTATAAAAAGGTTTTACTGCAAATCTCTCATTCTAGCTCTCCTTCCACCACCTCACATTTGAGTACTCTGGATGAACCCCTGTCTCTTGAAGTCTAGTCAGCAGTATCACACACTTTTCGACCTCCCAATCAAAAAAAGGCTTCCTGAAACTTGGACACCAGAAAATGACCCCCTGCCTTCACTCAAAGCATTGAGCTATTGGTATCTCCTTTCCACTTAATCTGTACAATCTTGGACATAGGTCACACAGTTTCCTCACATTCAGCAAATCATCCTCCCAGAATCTAAACTAAACCCATCCCCCACCTTCCATGATATAAAAGATTGTGTTCCCTCTTGAAATTTCATGATCCTCTTCCACAAAGTCACCCCATTAGATGAAGTGGCCACCCTCGGTTTCCAAATTCACCACCCCATATTTACATGCAATAGCCCTCCTCTGCAAGAACTCCCTCTCCCACCAAAGCCTCTACACCCATTTCCCCAAAAGTGCTTGATTAAAAGTTCTCACCCTTTTGAAAAGAAAAAAAGGTTCTCACCCTTCTAATTCCCAATCCCCTTCTTTCTTTGCCCTACACACCCATTCCCATCTTAACAAGTGAAACTTCCTTTGAGCCACTCAATTTCTTGACTCACAACTACTGGATTTTTTAGAAGAGACAAGTAATATATTGGAAAGTTTGACAGAACACTCTTAATGATGGTAATATTCCACCCCCCCTCGAAATAAAAAAAAAAGAGCTCCCCCCCGCCCCTTCCAACCCGCCAGTATTTGCTCGGTTGCCATGTAGAAGATGCTGATGCTTTCACTCCGATAGGCAATCCCAAGTAAACAGAAACTCACCAATTAGACACCCCAACGAAACTGCACATTCTTCCAAAATGTCTTGATACACATCTCCTACTCCAGTCATGACACTTTTAGTTATGTTAATCTTCAATCCTGAGAGAACATCAAAACCTTTGTTGAGTTGGTCCGAGTTGTTTTTTATTTAGTTAGGAAGTTGTTGGGCTTTAGGCCCATTAGTTTATGTTTTTTTAAGTTGTGACTGTTCAGCTATATTAGTAGCCGCCCTACTAAGGGCATCCTTGTAATATCTCATCCTTTAAGTTAAGTATAAATATAAAGAGAGGTTGGCGGCTAGGGTTAATTTTTACAATCCTGGTTGACTTCCTACTCTTTTCTTCTTCTCCTTTCTTCTCTACTGCTGAAATCTTCATCTTTCTCCTCTTTCCTTTCACAAGAAACTCGACTAAATCTGCAATTAGTGATTTCTATTTGGTATCAAAGCAGGCCGAAGGTTCCTTGAGTTGTTCTCTCATGCATCCCTAGATCGGCCGACTGCATGGTGATTTAAGAGGCTGATCCAAGCTCTTAGGTAAGCCCAGTTTTTGGATTCTTTTGGTGGATCTATGTACCCTATAGCTGGTCTAGGGTTTCTCATCAAAATCAGGAAAAACTAGAGAAAGGGGAAGAGTCTTGCTTCTGTTGGACTCTTCAATTTTGACCTAGGAAGTGGCACCCTAATTTTTTAGGGTTCCTTGGAGTTTTCTGTAAGGGGCGATTCAAGTCCTACCTGATTTGGAGGATTCTAGAGAGAGCGGTTGCCTCTTCTCTCTCTTCTCCATCCCACAGAAAAGGAATCTTTTGTGGGAAGAAAGTCTAGGACACCAGAAAGGTGTTGTTGGTTCCAAAAAGTGTTTTGTTTGATCTTGTTGCAAATTTCAGTTATTTTCTTTACATTTTTTGAGAAGCATGGAGGGCCACGGAGTTGAAAATAAGCCCGGGAGTGAAATGGGACCAGTGGGAGGAGGTGCTGGAGACCCTTTCGAGGCTGGGACCATTACTACAGTTAGGTTGGATGGTGCAAATTACTTAGAATGGTTACAATCTACAAAGATGGCCATTGGTGCTCGTGCGAAATTAGGGTATATCACTAGTGAAGAGGTGAAACCTGAAACTAGCAACTCCCGGTGGGTACAGGTGAATTATATGGTGATGACTTAGTTGTGTAATTCCATGTTGCCCATATAAGTAAAATTTTTTTATGGGCAAATATAGCTAAGGAAATATGGGATGGGGTTGCAGAAACCTATTCAGAGGGAGAATGTTGCTAGGGCTTATCAGTTGAGAAATCAAATTATTTCTACAAGGCAGGGAGATAGCTGTTGCAGCTTATTTTTTAGCCCTTAAAACCCAGTGGCAGGAGATTGACCATTTAGAGACATTTGCTTAGGAAACCACTAAGGATGCAGCTACCTATCAGAAACATCTAGAGAAGTATAGGGTGTTTGAATTTCTTACTAGCCTTAATCCTGAGTATGATATTGAACGACAGCATCTTCTTTCCGGGGACAATGTTACTCTCTCCCAGGCATATGCCTTTGTGTCAGGGGAGGAGTGCTGGAGAGATGTGATGATGAAAAATCTTATTTCTGATCAGTCTTCCATGGTAAGTGTTGTGAAACCTAAACAAAGTGGAGATCGGGGGGGCAGTGAAATCAAGAAGGAAGATAAAAGAGATTTGATCTGTGACTACTGTAAGAAGCCTA